ACAGAGCACAGCTTTATTCTTCACATCCTTCAGGATCCCTCCGCCAGCGTACGATACAGGGCCCTGAGTAAACAATTGCAACAGTCACAACAAGAATGGACTAATCGTTCATAAATCATTCAGTCAAAACTGACAGGACCCTCACCATTTTGGATGTTTGGGTTGGTCCTCCAAACCCTGTAAGCAGACCAAAAAAAAAAATTTCATTTTAAGGTTTAATTTAAACATGATGGAATGATCCATGCAAATTTTCAGGTCCGGGAGTAAAACCCTACCTAAAGCAGTGTTTTCTGGGCCTTTCTGTGTAGCCATGTTGGGCTCGTTCTGTTGGCAGTAGAAGCGCAGGAGACACTGCTGGTCACAGAACTGCTTTAACTCTGCACGCCACTGTACAGACTCCGTCAGGTTCCCCTGTACCTTACAGCAGTCACAGCGCGCCGCCTAGTGGCCACAGGAAAACAAACAGGGATTGTAAATGACTGCATTACAGATTTAGGTCAAAGAGCATCAGCACAAGCACACAATGGACTGGTGGCTGATAACTAGGCCCACACGGAATCTGTGTGTGCAGAAATACACAGATTTTTTGCCAATCATTGACTATTTACTTGTGTAAATGTGTGTAAACTTATATTTATTCAGTTTTTAATTAATTTCAGTAATATTATTGACTAATATGAAAATGAGAAACTATTACTTGACAATCTGTATTGTAAATAAAAATTCTTTCGTTTAGTAGATATATTATGAGAGACTTGTTTTTACCAAATAAGTGGATCTAGTTGGATTAGCATTGTAGGCAAAGTTAAAAAAATTTTTTTAATTTTTTTTCATAATGTTTTTAAACATTACATAACATAAATTCTGCGCAAAAACAACAAATAAAGTCTGTAGATTCTATCTGGCCCAGCTGATAACTTACTAAACTCTACAAATAAATAATTATTTGTCCTGGTTTCATGCAAACCATGTTAACTAAACTTGATAATTTAGCTTATTAGCAGTGTAGTGATGTCAAAACACTTTGTGTGTCCGAGTCAGAGTATTCCACTTTTAAGTGAGCAAATATTTGATGGCTGAACTCGACTGAAACTGATATCTGAAGGTGCTACATTGCTATGCTGATGGACCATTTTTCTTTCTTTTGGGGAAGAGGTTTTTATTAACATAATCCTTTAAAAGGTATTTAAATAATCTTATGTCTGTAAGATTTAAAATTTCTGGTAAAATTTTCCCAAATCTCTATTCAAATTTTAATCAAACAGTAAAAAACATCAACAGGAAGAGTCTTAAGAGTTTTAAGAACAAATAAATCAAAGCAAAAGTGAGACGCTGAAGCACAAAACCTTTAACCTTAAGTTACAATGGAAAGTAGGGGTGTCAAAGATAATTGTTTCTTCGGTGCACCGCAGTGTAGACATGGACCATTCAGTATCGTTTCAGTAATAATCATAACCGGTCATTACATACCTCACTTTTCTCCTATGCGCTATATTGTTGTAGCTTACTATGTCAAGGGAGGCAAGCATGAGTAATTTAAACACTCCAACTGCGTAAAAAAAGCAGAAACTGTCCACAATTTACTGTGTGTGCGTTTGCTGGACAGTCTTTCTCTGATACTGAAGTTACAGCAAAGCCCCTATTTCACTGTTATGGAGAAACTGAAAGTACACTCATTTCTCTCTCTCTCTCACTGTGGACATACAGTATAACTTGCTGTTGTGAGGTAATTTTTCATCTCCTCTCTGCTGTTACAGCAATATATTTCTGGATACAGACACGAGCGCGTGTCTGCAGAACGAGTTTTCTCCTCTGCGTCTATCATAGATCAGCTGTAATCACTGCTGCACTTTAACAGAGTCACTCATGGGTGAACAGCACCAGAATTTTAGAGCCAATCGCAGCCCTTTCTGTTGAGCATGTGACCAATCATAGGGGTGTAAGCATAATTACATTTGTTTATTTGCTATAAATGTTCATGCTGTTCTGTGCATGTACTTGAGTTTTCAGAGGTACAGTTCATATATATGACTGTATTAAAGCACAAAATTGTATTACAAATAGCATACAAATAAATTTATTAGGGCTGTCAAATTAGCGTGTTAATCCACGTGATTAATTTGAAATATTTAACGCGTAAAAAGAAATAACGCAAATAACGCAGTTGCAGTTTTTGTATTTTACGTTGTGGCCAACGTGTGTTCATTGCCAGCGCAAGTATTGGTGTCCAAGAGAATGAAAGTGCCAGGTGAATTTGCAAGCTGTCAAAGCAAGCTCCTCCTTAAGCTGCATCCATGAGCCTTCAAATGTTTCATTAGGTTTGACAGGTTTCCCCCTTTTGCAAAGTGTCTGCTTCACGTTGGTGTGTCAGAATCTTTGCTTGTGAAAAACAGCCATACTTTAGAACGCATAGTTTAAGCAAATTTGATGAACGCGATCGTACTTGTTGAAGAATCGGAAGGAATTCCTCTCGCTCCCTGGCACTGCGTGTGTTGTCTCTGTGTGTGTGTGTGTGTGTGTGTGTGTGTGTGTGCGCATGCATGCATGTGTTTGTAGGCCACTAAGAATCTAACATGGAAAGCATTTTTGTTAGTTATTGGCATGGATTGTTATGAAATTCAAAATGGCACTTACATGTCTGTGTTTTTATTCATATAATAATACGGCATTTTGTGATTAATCATGATTAATTACAAAAAAAGGTGATTCATCACGTCCATTTTTCTAATAATTTGACAGCCCTAATTATATATATATATATATATATATATATATATATATATATATATATATATATATAATTATTCATTAGTTTTTTTTTTGTGCAGTGTTGTGCTGTGAAGTAAAATATAGGTACGTATGAAAAGCATCGTCAATGCACAGAGACGCACCGAGGTATCAAACTGAACCAAATCGATGGTATGATAATCGGAACCGTACCGAGAGACCAGTGTAGGTTTACATCTCTAATGGAAAGCTGATTTGTCTTTCTCTCAGATAATATATATATTGGAAAAACTGGTGAAAAGTAAAAAAATATATAATTTAAGTTAGTTTAGGTTTGTGGCTTGTCATGTACATTGATATTAATTTATTCAATAAGAAACAAGCACTTTTATATGACATTATCTGAAGTACTTTTAGGACATGATGCACAGATCTAATATATATGAATTATATAAAATCAGTGACAGTACCTTGTAGTACCAGTCGTGAAACTTCTTAGCACAGGTCTCGCTGCAGAAGTCCCGGCTGACTCCGTCTATCTGTTTAGTGACAGATTTCTTGCACATCTGTGTACAGTGGTTGCAAGTCACACACTTCAGACCCAGACGCCTGATGAAATCCTGCTTGAACAGTAACTTACAGCCTGTAGACAAAATAGAACCATATCACTGCCGTCAGAAAACTAAAAACATGCCAACAGTAAAATAATATCAGAAGTCTAGTGTGTCAAATTCATTAGAACAATGTCCTCATATCCTAAAGATAAAATCACAACACATCATGATGTGAACAGCAGTAGATCTAATCACAGGACAATGTGCTATTAAATATGCACAGAAGTTCAACTGAACCTAGAATAATGACCTTCACTACAGAAGGGTCTCTTCACCCCCGAGAACTTCACAGTCTCATGCAGAGTCTTCTCTTCCTGACAGAACTCGCAGAACGTCACGATGCAGTGGAGCTTCTTGTAGTCCTCACAACAGGTCTTGCTGCAGAACTGATACACCTTATCCTGCAGAGATCAGATGTGATCACATTAAGGCCACTCACAACATTAACAAACCAGCTCACAAAAAACGTAAATTGCCATTTTCTTGTATCCATGTTGTCTTAAATACGAGTTTGAAAAATAATATTTGAATTTGCAAGGTCTACTGTAATTTTGCATAAATTTATTTTATTCCAAACCACCAATGATGTATTTACTATGTAAATATATTTTAGTTTTTAAGTGAGAACATCAACCCTCTGTGTTCACACTAGCTGCAGCTTTACCGGCATGACAACTTTTCAAGCATGATATATACTTACCGGCCACTTTATTAGGCACACCTGTCCACCTGCTTTGTGATTGGCTGATTAGAAATGTGTTAACATGACATCAACTCAATGTATTTAGAGATGTAGACATAGTCAAAACAATCTGCAGCAAGTCAAACAGAGCATCAGAATAGGAAAGAAAGTTGATTTAAGTGACTTTGAATGTGGCATGGTTGTTGTTGCCAGACGGACTGGTCTGAGTATTTCAGAAACTGCTAATCAACTGGGGTTTTCGCGCACAACAATCTCTAGGGTTTACAATGAATGGTCTGAAAAAGAGGAAATATCCAGTGAGCAGCAGTTCTGTGGGAGCAAATGCCTTGTTGGTGCCAGAGGTCAGAGAATGGCCAGACTGGTTCCAGCTGATAGAAAGGCAACAGTAACTCAAATAACCATTCGTCACAACCGAGGTATGCAAAAGAGCATATCTGAATGTACAACATGTCAAACCTTGAAGCAAAGATGGGCTGCAGCAGCAGAAGACCACACTGGGGTGCGCTTCTGTCAGCTTAGAACAGGAAACTGAGGCTGCAATTTGCACAGGCTCACCAAAATTGGACAATAGAAGACTGGAAAAAATTTTGACAGGTCTGATTCTCGATTTCTGTTGCGAAATTGGGATGGTAGGGTCAGAATCTGGCGTCAACAACATGAAAGCATGGATCCATTCTGCCTTGTATCAACACTTCAGGCTGGTGGTGGTGTAATGTGTGAGGGATATTTTCTTTGCACACTTTGGGCCCATTAGTACCAATTGAGCATGGTGTCAACGCTACAACCTACCCGAGTAATGTTACTGACCATGTCCATCCCTTTATGACCACACTGTACCCATCTTCTGATGGCTATTTCCAGTAGGATAACACGCAATGTCATAAAACACTAATCAACTCAGACTGGTTTCATTGATATCAGACAGATTTTTAACCAGCAAGCACTTTTTTTCTGATATTGTAATTAGATTTGACTTATTTCTGGGAGGAATAAAAATTAAAATATTTCCTAATGTCGACCAACAGCGTATCTTTCTTATAAATATAGTGCATTCCTGTAGATTGAAATGAATGTCACTATAAATTATATTATTTTAGACTGATATTAATAAATGAATAAATGACAATGTGCATGCAAGTCCTCACCTCCCATTCCAGAACCTCTGGCTTCAGGCTGAAAGAACTGCGACAATAGTTACACTTCAGCTGGATGTCTTCAGAAGCTGAAGCAGGAAGTTGCCCATTGGTTGATGTTTGGATTGTGGCATTCTACATTTGGATAGCAAAGTCACCAGAAGAACATTACCACTCTGTACTCTGACATGGACATTCCTAATATTTAGAGTCACGTTTAAGCTTGAGTTCTACAGATAGAGAAAACTGAAGTACCTGAAACTTGGTGACACACTGTGAACTGCAAAAGCTCAAAACCTTTCCTTCAGGTAAAGTTGCCTGATACTGAGGTAATGCATTTCTCTTACAGAAGTGGCACGATGGCTCAGAATCTACAAATACAAAACAAGATCAGACATTTATAACAGACATCAGTTCCTCTGACCTCAAATCTCTGACTAGAGTTTGAAGTTGGTACACATCTTAAAAGTAGAAATCAAACTGCCTGACATAGCATGCATGTAAAGGTTAGGAGTTAATCCTGGGGAACTAAATGGGCATGATCTGTGCTGGAGAACAAATGAGGACAACATTTTGCATATTCAACACGTCATCAGAATTTAGGGGCATTAAGGGAACACAAATGTAGGCCGCTGGCACCCATGGAGCAAGAGTGACAGCGTCGACTCTAGGTTGCGATTATCCACTCACTCTGTGCAGCAGCTGTGAATTTGCTCTTGGTCATACAGGCTGTGGTGCAGTAAGACTCCATGGCTCCATTTGCCCCGATGCACTGAGTGGCATCAAATGACCTGCACATCACCTTACACCCACTACACTGCACTATCTTTCCATGAGTCTGTGGAAAGAGAAAAATTAAGAGCAATCATTAAAAAAACATGAGAACTAGGAGTGCACTGCTCATTGCAATAAAACCCAAATTCATGAATCAAAAAAGATTTCAATTCATTTCAAAACTCAAGTTTGGACAAAAAAAAAAAAAAAAACAGCAACTGCAGAATTGCAGCTTTGCAGTAAAGTAAATAATTTTTAATATTCATGTATCAATACTGTTTTCTGACCTAATCAGTAGGCTTCAATCCTCTCACAGAGTAACAGCTAAAGGTGAATGTTTTGTTCTAAAGTGTAATGATTTACCTGTTAGCCTAAAATCAGAAAGTAATTTAAATGTTTTTACTAGTGTACTTAAAAAGTGGTTTAATACAAAACAGCAGTGCTTACACAAATAGGCTATTATTAGTTTGTTCGATCATGCCACCTTTGCTTTTGCCATATAGCAATTTTATATAAAGAACTATAATGTTGTTTAAATGTATCTATTCTATTTTGGTTTTATGTCAAGCCTCCGTGGGCAGGTATTGAGAATTAGCAAGTATGCTAAAACACTTAAATGCAAAATCAAACAAAACGTGCTCAGGGGTAGCTTAAATAATGTGTCGGTGATCTTTGGGTAAAGAATTCATTAGAAAAACAGCAAAAAATAAATAAATAATTCGGCACTTAAAATATTTTTATATTTCACCCAAACCCTAACCAAGTAACACTTTTACCCTGATGAAGGCAATTCTGCTTAGGGTTTTAGGGATTAGCCATGGGCTAAGGGCCTTTTAAGGTTTTTTCCACAGTTTGAGTACCTTCTACTGATTTTTGCAACTTAAACAAATACATTGGGTTGTCAAGTGTAATTGTGATGCCCATGTCAAATAAATAATTAATAATAATGTATATAAAATAATGTTTTGTAAAAGACCCTAAAGAGTGTGACATAATATTACAAACGTTGCAGCATCTGTAGAAATTGTTTGCACAAAGTCTAGCAGCTCAATGCTGGTTGTTTTGAATGTCCAACAACTAGGGGATGCACTGATCGATCGGCCAGAGATTGGTATTGGCCGATAATCACATTTAATTACTCGATGGTTACTTGCTGACCAGGCTGATCTTATGAACTCATCGCAAGTGTTTGTGTTAGTTGGAGATGAGCTAAATACTTGAATGACTTTGCATGTATTTAGGCCTTTTTACATATAAGAATTGAAAGTTGTCTATTTTTGACATCATTGCAAGTTTACTAAAACCTGGCGGGATATATAACATACATAAAACATTTTTAACATGAATATTTAATAATATAACTACCTACAGCAATAAACAGAAGTTTATAGGCTCATTTCCAAGTTTAGTATTAATAAATGGATTTATAGGTGTTCATTTTAACTTCTTACACATCAAACATGTGCTCCAAACTTCTTTATGGTGACGTGTTGAATTCTTTTCCCATCATTTGCAAAGTTTCTAAATTTCATTATTAGTCATTTTCTTACCAATTTATTTTGTGTTTAATCAGTTATTTTCTGTAAATCTGTTTCTGATCAATGACATGTTCACACCTAAATGGTTGTAAGAGACACGTTTAAGGGATTATATGCAACATCCTTAATTTATCCTAGGTAAGAAGTGATCTCTACTTAACTATGATACTCAGAGGGAAATGTGCTTAATGCATTATTAAACTCCAATCATTATTATTGGTACTCTGTATCGGCCGATCACCATGACAAGGAATTGGTACTTGGCATCGGCTGCAAAAATACTGATCAGGGCATCCCTACCTACAGGAGGCTGAGCTAAAAGTAAGAAAAAAAAACAACATACGACACTGACCTGTTTATAGTCCCTGATGCAATTTTGACAGCAAAAGCGTTTCTGCTGGCCGTCTATGAGTAAAACGTGGTTCGCCGTGGCACGACTAGGCAGGTAGTTCCCACACTGTTCGCAGCAGTTCATGACTAGCCCGTTAGCCATACGGTAGCGATTAAAGCACGCATCACTGCAAATCTTGTGAGTCACATTCTTGATGCTCACCTCATGCCGAATCTGGATACAAACACACATACACACAATGATGAACAGTATTTAATGTAGAGGTTACAGGTTCAAGATTAGCATGTTATAAATAACCGAAACGACTAATAAATTGGTGTAATGGTCTTTTCTTTTGTTCCCAAGGTGATTGCTATGGCATCACCAAATACAATCAAGGATAGCAGTAACCATGGCTACAAGGTTGGAGGCTTGACTGTGTTCAAAAATTATATTTGACAATGGACAACAACGGAAAGTGTGTGAAAATGACAGTACTTGGGTTTTCCATTCAGTTGCAATGAACTCATATTACAGAAGAACGAAAAAGAAATAAGGGGAGCTAATTCTAACCATCCCATCTCTTTAGAAATTAAAAAAGCCTTGCTGAGTGTGATGGTAATAAACTCACTCTATCATTTCATGCTGGTCTTCATTAATTAACATTCATATTTTCAGCTTTCCCCATTGCAGGATTCATTAGTTCACCAGCATCAACTAGTTCACAATGACTGGACTGATCATGATAACCGTATACAATAATGCTTTCTGGGATGACATTGGTAAAGTACACAAAGTCCTACATCAGAACCATTTAAAAAATTAAGCAAACAAAAGCAATTGCAGTGCAAAAACATTGTGGCTGCGTTATTTACTTCATGCTCTTTTTTAGTGTTGACTGTATTAGAGTTAGCCAATCATAGCACTAGATATTTACCTTCATTTCTGCAAAAAGTAGTACCAGGGTTTCTGCTAGGTTTCATCAAGTAAGATTTAAGACTTTGTACGACCATTTTAAGATCAAGAATAAAATTGAGGATGAAGGATTTGATGTAAAATGTCTAAGAGCTGTTGTAAATTGTATCTCTTTGCAATAAAAAAAATTTGCATCTAAAAAAAGGTTTTATTGAGATGCATTGTTAGTCACAATATTTTAAGATTTTAAAGAGCCTGCAGACACCCTGAATGCAATTGTCAATACAAACTAAAAAGATTCATAAAGAAAACAATCAGCATATGTTTTACATCAAATAATAGCTCTTTAACCTGTTTCTCAAATGTTTGCCTGTACATTGCAAACAAGAATGAACAGAGCCCTGAGTTCAAATTCTGAGTAACACTGTAGCCTAACCAGGCACAGCAACACTCCATAAAGAAAAGTTTGCCTGATTCATGGGAGTAACATGCTGACAACATTCGTGGCTGTAGCTGTTTATAAACAGGGTATAATACATTCAATGCAAATGAAAAGTATATCAGAATATGAACAGTCTGACCTCAGTGAGTTTTCCACAGACGGTGCACTTTGTTTTAATCTGGTTCTTCTGAGGATTTTGTTTGTTTTCATAAGCTGCCAGGCAGCCTGTGCTACAGAACTCCTGAAATGATTCACTGGAGTCCACCTGGGCCACTATGGTGCCTCCTTTCATATTGGTTATGTCTCTGGTAAAGAAAGGAAACAAATGTTAGGATGACACTCTAATTGCTATAAACCAAATCAAGACAATGCACATATATAAAAGTCTGACCGTGTGTAAAGATAAGAGCAGCTAAGCATCATTTTAACCTGTGGTTAGCAATTTCAGATCACTCTCTCGCTCTCTCTCACTCACTCAAACTCATATTAAAATGACGTACTTCTTGCACATGGTGCAGCTCTTTTTGGGAGCGGGCTTATGGGAAAAGGCAGACAGGCAGGTTGTTGAGCAGAACAGGTGGGATGAGCCTTTGCGCTGGTACGCAGTCTGGCCTTTCTTCAAAGGTTTCTTACAGTTGGCGCATGTGACTTTCATGGTGCGCGGTGGCTGCTGGGATCCTGAGGACTGGCAGGGAGGTTTGGGTAGAGGAGCTGCAGGGGATGGTGAGTCCACTCCAGGCTGCTTCTGATTACGTGGAAAAGACGCCGATTGGGAGATCCATGAATCTGAGGGAGGACAAAAAGATTTCAACTCACCGTCACTATAACAGTTGTTATTAAATGCATAACGAGTCTGCTGACGAGACTTTTGAAGTTCCCTAATCTTGTATTCAGAGCCATTTAAACATAACAGAAAAATAACTAGCATTTTTGCAGAAAAACATGCTGTCTAGTCAGATGTTGTGCGCCTCCCATCAAACGGATTTAACTATGGAAGATGAAGTTGTTGCCTGTGGTGTGGCCTTGCTCCACCTATCCTATATGTCAGAAATATTCTGAAGCAGCAATACTGTTGTGTACTGTCGTTATAGATAGCATGCGGTTCCTGCTTTTTATTTGAATAAACATAACCCTAAATGCACATCTGTAACTTGCCAGTAACATTTTAAATGTATGTCCCTGTAAGAATACAAAAACACGTCATAAATAATTGGAAATCCAGCTACCACAATTCCCAGATTCTCCTTACTTTGGCTTTGGAAACAACTGTGTTCAGAACTAAAGTAAACAGGACTGTGTTCTGATGCTTCTCGCTGGAGATCACCACCAGTCTGTTCTGATTGAAAATGAATGACTTCCGGCTTCTTTGCAGTTGCGTGCACACTTGCACAATAATCCATGTACATTAATACATTAATCCTAAATTATTTTAAGATCACTACAGTGCATCTCTTCATCATTTATAATAGATTAAAACATTTTTTTGGTTTGGTTCATTTTCACAAGGGAGAAACTGTGCCGGGTTCAGCCACAAACAGACCAAACAGGCTTGAAGAGTCAGCATAAAAAAAATAAAAAAATAAAAAATACAGTCAATGATCAATTTTATAAATGCAATATTATAAGTCTTATTGTGTTTCATTTTTAAAATGTTCTGACTTTATAATTGTTAATCAGAATGTCCTAACTGTACCTTTCAATCATGTAACTTCTCTCTCTCGAGACATATGCATGACCACTCCAATCATTCAGTTCAATAAAGCCCTGCTCCAGGAAGCTCACAATCATCTGTCTCATCTTTTGAGTGCAATACTTATACTAAGACCCAACCAAACGTGAACGTATAGAAACAAGTTCTTCTATAGAAACAGTTTCTCTTTCTTAATATTAATTTTTACTTGGATGCATGTCACAATATATCCTATCAGCATCGATATTGCAATGTGCTCATTCGCAATAGTCACATTGCGAGCATATGCAATGTTGAGTCTGGATTATAATTCATCATTAGCATGGGTTTTTCATGCCCGTGACTGTATAATGACCTTAAAAGTGTTCAGGCATAATCAACTATACCACTTGTAACTTTAACAGTGATTTATTTTACTGAATTATTTTCACTTTTATCATTCAGTTACTGTACTTGAATACTGCTAGACTCGAAAAACTTTTCCAAAGAAAAGAAAAATATCTAAAGATGCCTTTTTTAAGTTAAAAAAGAAATCGGTGTCTGAAATCGGAAACTAATTGGTTCTTCAATAAGCCACACCCAAAAACCGCCACACACCAGTCATGGTTTAGCAACCTTAGCTATGTGCAGGAGGCCTGTCAAGCTTTGGAGCAAGGGAAACAAGCCAAAGCGCTGTTCATATGGATTGTGCAAATCTGACACCGGTATCATAAAAGTTTGGACGGGGTGGTGGAGCTTTATTCCTTTTGCAAAACCTAAAACCAAATGGGAGACATGTCAGCGTGGATCAAGCTCTGTGAGGGGTGCTAAAAGAGCGGAGATAAGTTGGTTTTGTTTTCTATTTTCCTGACACATTCAGTGATGGACGACAATAACTCACACACATCTTAAAAGATCTAAACTGCGTTTCCTACAAAAATACAAAAACAGGTTATTTTTCCCAGCTGTCTTTTTCTATTTTTTTGCTCGATTATATGAGCACTGCCCTGTTAAAGCCCTCGCCAAAGTAGTCATACTAATAGCAATCATATTTCCATCTGTTTCAAGCTACAAATAATTGAAATTACAAATCAACAGAACAAAACTGAGATGTGATCACAATCTGAGCACTTGTGATCAATATACTTCACCCGCAGCTGTTTATCAATCATATATATCCCTCATGACCATGTCAGAGCTACAATTCACTGATGTTTTCGGCTGTCTTTTGGAGATTTAGTCATTGGTGACGATGATATGGCAGGTTAGTGTCTGCTTTTATATTTCGTGTCTGATTAATATTTGCTGGTAGGGAAAATCAGGTTCACTTCTGCTATTTATACTTTGTTTGCATTTCAATTTATTTATTTTTCACTTAACTGCAAATTACAAAAGAAACAGTATAAAAAGCACAAACTTACTGACAGTTATAGGTGCTGTACATTGTTATGAGTAAATGATACTAATATTCGGTACAAATCCATCAATTTCCCTTTTATGGCTGTTCTTTCTATCAATGAATTATGTAGAAGCACAGTCCATGCGTGTTTCCTCGTTGGTTAGTAAGGCTATATTTCATTGCACAACAATTAATCCATCAGGCTTTTTGGCTAAAAAAGGAAATCATGGTTTAATTTGTTATTATTAGATTATTGATAAATTTCACCTCTCTAGCTGTGCATGAACTAAGCTGTTGAATGGTCAGCATATGAGGCGGCTAGGCTCACGTAGCTTCAATTTTGATGGAATTATTCTCTAATCAGTTGCCTATTAAGTCATGAATACGCCCCGGTAATGCATACTGCAGTTCTTTTTTGTCTGGCTTTCTCGGATATCTCACCTGTTCGCCAAAAATGACAAATTATATCCCTGGCAATGTCTGACACTGGGGCATGCATATTGTAATAAGACTTTCCAGGCACGAAAGCTTGACAGGCATAACAACAGTAACTAAGGAAGGCGGGGGCTTAGCGAAGGGTCAATTAAGACAGTAGAATTCATTCAATGTTTGCTGTCATTTATGGTTTTTAAAAGTGTTTTTTTTTACCCAGACATTTTAAAAGAAGATATTTAGAGCAGTAATTACAATACCATGATATCATGACATTTTTACCCAAGGTTATCATACTGTTCTATACCGGCCAATGCCTGACATACTACAGACTGCAACGAAAATGTGTCAGGGGACCCCAAAAAGTTGATAGAATGTTTATTAGATTATTTGGAGTTGCAGAATCATGCCAATCGATCTAACATTATAAATCCTTTACAAATAGATATTCAAGTTATGTGGTGAAATAGTATTCATATTGCAAACTAAAAAACTATCACAATGCTAGGTTTTTTTTAAATCGTGCAGCCCTGTCACAATATGGTTAAAAAGGTGTGTTACTACTTCTGTATGAAACTGAAATTAGGAAAGATGCAGTTAGTAATCTCTAGTTTTGCACTGTTTCCTAGTAAACACTCTTCCACCTTTATTCCATGGACTACGGATAATGGTGCACTGATATCTGAAAATGGAAACCTGGGATTGTTAGGTCAGTATTAGAGAAACAAGTCAATGCAAGCCTTATGTACATGTGCTTGGTAGAGGATGACACAGCAGCTGAGTGTGGATGAATTACCAGATCTCTGGTGTGTCCCCGTTTCTCCATTCTGCACAGGCTGGCTCGCGGCACTAATGCGTCCTGGGTTGAACGTGGGTGAAGGTCTGCCGGTTGTACCCTGGTTCTGCTGGGCCTCTGGGTTCAGGCTGAATGCACTGCTTATCTGCAGTCCGTTCTCAGCCCCCTCCAGTTCCTCCAAAGGGGCCGCCGCTGGACCATCCCCGTCTTTCAGCGATGTCACATTCGTGATCATGAGGTTTATATCCTCTTGAGCACACAGCGCCAGTGGCGATGCTGTTGACGTATCCATGGCAACCGCTGAAGAGTCCGTACCCAGCGTGGTAACACTGGCAATTTGGATTTCAGAGTCAGGCTCTGTGCTGCTCAGGGCATCCTCCACCTCAGGGGGCGGCACGGAGGAAGAGGCGGTGCCCTTGAGCTCTGAATCCTCCTCGTCGTCAATAACGATTGGCTCGCTTTGGCTTTTGGCCGTGGTGGATGCAGTTGTGCCACTGGTAGCTGCAGAGGAGGGAGGACTGGGAGATTTGGAGGGAGCTGTTGCCGTGGTAGCCGACTCCGCACAGTCTTTGGCAGCATCGAGGGTTTCTGCAGGTGTGGAGATGGGGGGCTGTACTTTCCCCTGAGAGTGAGCAGGAGGCTCTTCTACCAATACCACATCGTCATCATTGTCTTCCGAGGCTGTGGGCAGGTCTGGTGCTGTCTGTGACTCTTCTGCAGATGGAGACGGCTCTATTTCGGGCGTGGTTTCCATTTGACCCTCCTCCTCCCCTGTGACTGTACATGCCTCCTCAACATCTGCTCTGGCTTCCAAATCTCCATCCATTGCTTAGGCAACCACCTGTAGACACAAACACAATGAGCTGAACAATTACCTGATGGACCCACAAGGTCAGGAGGAGGTGCTGTAAAGGAAGACCACTAGTCAGGAAGCCAATTACATAAGCTAAACTGATAGGCAAATATGACTAATACAGCCCACAAAACTAACAAATTTGGTCAGTCGCTTAATAATGACAGATGGCAATGTGGTTAGGAATTCACCAAGGGATTAATAACATCAAATTACAAGGTGCCTCTTAAAAAAAATTAAAATAAAAGTGTTCACCACAACTCTAGATTGGGGATGGACGATATGGACTTTAAAACATTTCACATTTTCTGGTATTTATTGAGATGATGCTATTTATGATTATTTATATACTGAGAAAATAAGAGCTGAAAGTGCTGTGATCACACTGTAATGTTGTGGTTTCATTCATACGGAACGCTAGTGGGCACTCTTGCACATACACCCCACATATAGATTACTGGCGAAAAAAGAGAAAAGCAATAGAGTGGAGGAACTGTAATGTCAATTTGTATGCAAAAACCTGGAAGCGAATTAGCATTTTAGCAGTTCCAGTTTCCTCGTCACAAAGTCAACAGATTTTTTGAATGGGGTTTCAGTAAAATCGCTTAAATAGGTTTGTGGCTAACACAAACTCAACATACTTTCACGTTTTGTTCTACGACATAAAACACATCAGTTACACCACACTCTTGATTTTTTTAAATCGGTAACTCTTCTTTAAAAAGACGGTTGCTGTCAAGTTGCTAAATGGGACTACAGGCGGTGTCGGAGACATTATACGTCATCGAGCTGAACTGATCTGGAGCGCAGCTCACTTTTGTTGGGCATTTGGATTTGCCTGTGATTTAAGTATTTTCATAAATAGTATTTTATAGTTTGTAGTGTTTTTCTAATTGGGAATTAATATTGCGTGTAGATAATGCCTTCACTTGTAAAGCCTGTCGAGACAGACTAATTTGTTGATCATTTATTTTAATTAAACGATCTTATGAAGATACTGCTTACCAGTGCAGCCTGTCTCTGTCCTGCTTTAAGTAATGCAAATGTGTGAATAAATGTGTAAAAATACATACATGTTAACTGCTATTTTAATGTCATCAGGTCATTTTTTGTCATTTTTTTCTTCATCTGAAAACATTTCTTCTGTCATAACTGCAAGATTTACACTTCTCCATAAAATGTATAGCAGATGTGGTATGGGCTGGTTTTCGCTGTACTTTGTGACATAAAACGTTGTTCTGTGTCCATGATGGAACTTGCATGCATTTAAAAGATGCGACTCATTTCTGTCGTCTGTTAAGGTAAGCAGGCTGTGTGCACACAAGCAATACACTTGTATAAATATGTTTTGTGATAATACTATGCAAGCACATTTTTACATAGTTTTAAAACTTTTACAACAACTGTAAAGCAAAACGGATGTATTTCCCACGTAAAAACGATCCAAAAATGCACATAGGTCCATGTGTTTTTCGTATTTATTTGTTTGGAATATATAGCTTGCATTATGATATAATAAACAAAGAGATTAGCTCTTTGTAATGGACCATATTTCTAAAAATAAGCTTGAAAAGTCGTTAGCAGGGCGGTGATGACGTCACAGGCGAGCGCACTGAGGTGCAGTCCGTTAATAGCTTAGTGTTAGCTTTTCAATTCTTGCGTTTGCATTTAAAATCCAAAAGTGCTCAAAGTTGTATTTTCGTGTGAGGATTATCCGGCTGGACAAAACGCGTAAGTGTAATGAACAGTGTTTGAACACATAGCTTATTATTTGCAATCTTCAAAAAGCCTATGGGTAAATCCTATAAGGATTTTATCAAGGGAACCAGTTTTATGCTAACAGCCGATTAGCTTACAAGGTGACAACATAGTTCCTCCACTCTATTTCAAACACTTGACTGAAGTGATTATATAGTAAAAGTACAACAGTAAGTCTAATTGTAAACAGGACCATAAATGCAAAACTGTATTGCACACGTTCCTGTAATAAATCATTGCATACACTTTTTACCAGTATATTGCTGATCTCCTATCTAGATTTGGAATCCAAATCATGGAAAAGATTAAAAAAAATGACTGACATAGTACATATGGAACCTAAATGGTTTCCAAACTCTAGATTTGGAACTTATAATAATGCATTGCAAGAAAGTGAAACTGACCTGAGACTCTACATTTTAAAATGTTAAAGGGTGCCTGTTTTACCCCTTATTTAAGATTTAAAAGATGTCTTTTGTGTCTCCAGAATGTGTCTAACGTTTCAGCTCAAAATAACCATCAGATTATTTATTAAACCTTTGTGTATATTGGAAGTTTGAGCTGTTTTGACTTTGTAGCTGTTTTTGTTGCCTGTGTCTTTAATGGAAATGAGCTGGTTCTCCCCGCCCATCGTTCCCACGTGCATGTCAGAGCCAAAGAGATTACTCACTTTTGTAATGATGGGTGTAGCTTCTCCTGCTGCATCTCACGAATAAAGGCTGATTTATACTTCTGCGTCAAACGCCGGCGTATGCTACGGCGCTGACGCATAGCCCTTCGCCATGGCCATCGGCGTCACTGACGTGCACCTCTCAAAAAAATGTAACTACACGTCGCAACAACGCGTAGCGCAAGCTCTGTGATTGGTCGGCTTGGTAGCGCTGACGAGTCTGGGCGGGACTGAGAGCCGCGTGAATGGCGCGAGCGATTGTTTACAAGTGTGGAGTCCCGTGAAGGAGCTCCGGATGGATAGTTTTGTTTTGTGTTTACCTCATAGTTAAAGTTGTCCGCCGGTTCCTGCCTCAAAATGAGCGAGCTTGAGCAACTTGTACATCCAGGAAGTGTTCAGGAAAAGCAAAAAAGCAGCGACGAAACTCGACACAGAGGAAGATTTACACCTCACTGTCAACTAGCGTTTCGGAAGTGTTAATGCAGACCAACAGAGACAGCGCGCAGAAGTATAAATGCACAGCCACGCGCGTTGCATGCGCCGTGGGTTACGCCGGTCACTTGACGCAGAAGTATAAATCAGGCTTAAGCAGCACAGTGACAGACAAGAATGGAGCAGATCTACCTTAACGCAGTAAGAGCTTTCTCAACGGTTATTTGATGTATTGGTTTTGGAGTTAATTTACACACAATGTCGTTATAAAGTTTGCACACGTGCAAGCGCTCTCACTCTCTCACTGTTTTTGCACATCAATGCACGTGACGATGCACGTTATTAATCACTGCTGTATTGATATCCGTTATGTTCATGTATAAAATAGTCCTGATTTAGTATCCATAAACCAGGACTGAAGCATCTTCTTTTATAATTGTACTGACACTCGGCTGAGGTGAAGAATTACGAAGAAGTTTTACTGTCCATATTACAAACTCATTCTTGAGGTGCAGCTGATCACAGTGAGCTGAACAGATCTTTTAATCACAGTTGCTTTGTGGACATCCTGTCTTATGATTATACGCATTACTATGTAGACATGTTAATACGTGGCGTATTAGCATGAATATGGTGGGCAGGGCAACTGCACTACTACATCACGTTGCGGTGGGCCTTAAAATGGGAGGGCTTTGGATCCCATTTTTTACGTAAGAAAAAAAAAAAGACAGTGTTTTTATCAACCCAATATAACCGTGGACACACTACACACAGTTCTGTCCAAACAGCTTACAAAAGATGATTTCCATCATACGTGCTCTTTACATTATGAACTGCAAGAAAGGGTACATGGTTCAGAACTCTATACCTGTAATTTTCAATTATTAAATAAAAACGTGAAAATGATTTGGAGTTTAATATGTAATTCTAAATTATGTTATATTATATATATATATATATATATATATATATATATATATATATATATATATATATATATATATATATATATATATATATATATATATATTTATATATATAAAAAATTTATTTTTTACATTTATTTTATTTTTTTTACAAAACTCAAACACTGTAATAGTTTTAGTCTATTCTAATAAATCAACACACTTGTACTTTAAATAGAAAACACAAACTGACATCAAACATGTGCTACTCTGAAGAATCTGTAATGCTTAACAATATATGCCAAGAGCTTAAATGTCTAAAGCATGAGCAGCAAGTACACACAAAAAACTGTTTTGTAGAACTTTACAGTGGATGGATCGTCAAAGCAGACATGTATTGCCAAATTCAAAGACTTCTGGTTGAACTTCAATACATCTGGACTGCAATGCAGATCATGTAGAGTATCTTGATCCATTCTCAGGGGTTCACACATAATGCCCCATTTGAGCTGAGATCTCAATGTTGATGCAGATACTCTTTATGGAGGCGACAGTAAAAACAAAAGCACTGCTCATATAGATGCAACAAACAAGTTAACACTGTGTATCTGTGGGCTTTCCTTGCAGCATGATGTGATGATCATGATGCCGAAGAGAGGAAAGTATATGCAGTGTTACTGATCCAGCTCTCAGACGTGATATAATCACATGCATATGCGCCACGCGCGCGCCAAGTCTGCACCAGAACAACAACGATCCCCGCAAAACACATCACAGCTCTCGTGGCCCCTTAAATCTGCACTTTCCCAACACCAATTGTGTCAATTAGCAGCATAATGAAGCCATTTTGGGGCAATTCCTACCATTCACCCCTTGGGCCGTGCCCTTGACTCCGGACCCTCCGTATCCACACACACACCCGACTGCGATCCGCGCGCTGTCAAGGCAACCGGATGACGACGTCAGCACGCCGTTCTTCATAGGCTTTCATTATAATCAGGAAACTCAAGGGTCAACGGGTCCGAAAACTTGCTACGTGAAACCCCCAGGCGGGAGGAGCCTCACAATTTGCCCCTTTTCACGCAAACCCCCGGCCCATGTGTCGGCTGTGCTCCCACCCCTGGCCTCTCTGGCGCATGCAGCCATTGGATTAGCGGCGAAACGAGGGAGGAGAGCCTCCGAGACTGCGCCATTGTTATTGTAGTGAAAAAAATATTACTCAGAAGTAGTTATTGGCGCATAATCGACGGGACAAAACGACACGGAAGTCGAATGTGAATCAGAAGTATCCGAATATGTGGATCTTGACACTATAAAAACGTGGTGTTTCAATAACAACACGTGAATAACACTGTGACCAATTTCGAGTCTTGCTATCAGACATTAAACACTTCTAGATACCGAACACAGCTCTGTTTATGACTAGACCCGTGACCCCCTTTCGGTTTTCTTCGAGAATGGAGTTAACTTGCCGGTTTATGGTTTAATTGAAGTTACCCCAGAGCGGTAATCAAACGCTAATACACGTGGAGCCCTGTGGGGGCGCTGCACAGTTAGGAAACATCAACTATAACGCCTATATGTGACTAATCACAAATATTTCATAATCCAAGCTAGTCAAATTAACTAGGGTCTAAAACACATCCATCAACCAGCTACAATAAACAAGAGTTATGTCCTAATTGGCAGATCATTTTGCCCCCTTCAGTCAGTGGGCAGCACTGCCTCACGTCCGCCATTAGAGAGCGAGCGAAACAATGCGCGAGAGCATAGGCAACAGCACCCTGCCACGGCGGAGGGGGAAATCTCAGGCGGGGTAAAATTGCACGCTAAATTACCGTAGCGTACAAATACAGGTGACCCCGGTGCTTTGATCGGCTCGAGATCCGTGGCGGACATAGTTGTAAAAACTTTGGGCAATTACGCACAGTTCTGCATCAAAACGCCAGAGAAATGCTTACCGGAGTAGAGCTGGAGACGGTAGAGCGCCACTTTTGTGCCTTGACATAAATCCTGGCGCGCATGCGTGAAAACGTACGGACGTTCTTGGCTCGTGGGAGGAGAAACGCGCTACTCACGCGGGATACGTGCACGCGCGGCCTAATGGAAGTCCGAAACGTTCATATGAGTTGATTCTTTTGAACTTAAACGATTCGATTTGGAAAACATGTTAAATAACATCTAAAAACACATTTCAAGTAAGAATTACTTGCATTTTTATGCATTTGAGATATTGGAGACTTACTTTTAATCGAGTAAATGCCTGGTTTATTCGAAATCCCATTGAAATCAGCTCACTCATCTACTTTTAATAGCTCGTTGTGAATCAGATGTGTGCACGAGTCAGTGAGTTGTTGAAAAAGGGAACAGCTCTGGTGTAATCATGAACGAACATTTCAGATCAGTTGTTTAAATTGGTTCGACTGATTCGCTGAAAAGAATCGATTCAAAAGAACGATTCTCCCACGAACTAGACCTCTCTAGAGCGCGCACCACGTGCACGCACGCGAACGTTTAACTATGTAATAATTAACCTAGCCTAGCCACCACGCGTTTAAAATAGTTTAGATATTATCTACGATATATGTAGATAGATTAATTAAACAATTTGATAATCCAATACAATTATTTTTGGCGGAACAATTCGACAGATTTCACCCTAATTTAATACAATAATAATAATAATAAGTACGTTTAAAAAAATGAATGCTACAGCACTAGTGGAAATAAATACTGCCATTTAAGAGTTGCTCATGAGTTGTTCATGAAGTGAAATGGGTTTATTTACAGAATATTTCTTCACTTATTTGAACTTTTAAAGTAATAATTTAAACCAGCACATTCATAAATTTTAATCGAGAGGTTAATCGCTGTTACTGAAGCCTTCAATAAGTGTATTTGAACAAAAGTGTGATGTAAACACTAAGCAGCACATGCAGTAGGGTCAGTATATGACCAACTGCATTGCGTAAGAGTCATATTAAAAAAACACCTTTCTGTTCTGTGATAATTAATTCCATTCGACATACAACAGATAAGTTTAATTGAGAAGTCGATTGCATAAAACAAGCGTCCTTTTGGTACGAACAATCCCTTTCTGAAGACTTGATGACACTGATGGGATGGAATCGAGTGACGCAGTTTGTGAAACCTAATGTGATCCACTGCACACACACACACACACACTGACAGTGTCGGACAACGATGCAATACAATATATACAGAAATACTTACGTGCTTGAGCCAGAATTCTTCAACGCGTGCACAAGTTGATATAATCAGACTAGAATGAGACTCTTTTTAATTAAACATTAGGTATTGTTTTCTCTTTAACTTTTGTACTACATTTGTAGTATTTCGAGGTGGCAGTAAGTTAAACATTAGTTTGCATGACAGATATAAACACTCCTGTATTTTAGTTTTTAAAAGATGTTCACGTGTAAGTGGATCCCTCAAACACTTTAAAAGGGATAGTTCACACAGAAATGAAAACGTACTCCCCTTTTACTCAGCCTCAAGTGGTTCCAACTCTTTAAGAATTAGTTTTTTCTGTTGAACGCACAATATAAAGTTATAAATATTGTTGGAAACGGGATGCCATTGCTATTCACGTTATGAAAAACACAATGGCAGTCGATGATTGGTTTCCAACATTTTTCAAAAGATCTTCCTTTGTGTTCAACAAATGGGAAAAGAAGTGAAAACAGGATTGAAACGAGAGATTTTAAGATGACAGAATTATCTGTTTTTGGCACACTATCCACAGTCATCTGTTTAGTCTATTTTATTAGTCCCCTGTAGTTCTTTGCTTTATATTTTAAATATATAGTTCACCCAAAAATTACAGACTTTAAGCTTTCTTAACTTTTTTTTAAAGGTTTGAAACAAGTGAGTAAAAGAGGTTTCATTTTTGGGTGAACTATCCCTTTAAGACCAATTTTAGTCTTTTATTAGTGGAAAGGAACATATACTCATTTAGCTGTAGCAAAAATAATGTCCAAGAGTTCATATTACTCTGCATGTGATGAATACATGCCAAATAAGAACACAAACACGTGTGTATATTTATCAGATGGGTTTGTAAATGTAGTGTTTTTGTTGCTGCCCTTATGGAATATATATATATATATATATATATATATATATATATATATATATATATATATATACACACACACACACACACACACACACAGTAGTCAATTCTATTAGCAACTCTTGTGTGCTTGCTGGCTACAGGCCACCTTTCCCATTTGAAAACATTTGAAATTACATTTGCTCTGCTTTGTTACACTGACGAAAGACTCTTAAAGCTGCACGTTTAGAGAACCGTTTATTCCTTGTTTCTGTATTAAAGAGAAAAGAATAAAACTGATTGTTATGGAAATATATGTACAGTTTATTTACTGTAGTCAAAAGAGGAAATGAATCAATGAGCAGTCGTTCTCTCACTTACTAATAGTACAATGACAGGACGAAGAGAGGCAGGCCATGAACAACACAATAGAAGAAGCCTTCACTGCACGTCCAAACTCAAAATAAGATCGGACTCTTCAGTTCAGTCAAGTGATTTGATTTGTAATGTGAAATCTAATAAGAAATTAAACCGGGCTGGTGTTCAACCTGCACGACGACATGTAAAAAGAGTCACGATCGCTGCTAACCAGCATAAAAGTGACCCGTTCTAATAATCGCTTCTACCTGGATGACTTCAACCTGTGTGGATCCTCCTCTCAATGCAATCACACATTAGCCCTTAAAATAGTGAACAAGCTAAACGTACACATTCATACATTTCTTCCAAAAATAATGGCTTCATTATAGATCCAATTTAGGATTAAAATCACATTCTCTGCAAAGAAAATGTTTTAAAGCACACGTTTCTGATGTTCAGTCACACTGGTGTCCAGTTTTTTTTTTTTTTTTTGTGGCCCCTAGAATGCAAAGCAACAGGGAGATGAGAACTGCTCATTCTTTCATTCATTCTGCACACATCAGACAAGTGCGCTGTCTGGTTAAACACACCGAACATAAAACGAAACAGTGGGTGAGAATCTGGAGTGATAAATTATTCTATTTAAAAAGAAATGAAATAAAAGGAACACTATACAAACAAGATTTACAAATGACCTTCAGACGCAAGCCCGAATTTATCATATTTCATGCTGACCTCGAGGGTGATGCAGTTTCAATTCACAAAAATCGGACCTCTGGAAACTGGTTGCAACACTTAGCTAAACAAGAACTTATAAGTCACGCTGAGAACTGTGACTGTTGTCATTGACCTGTTAGTATTACTGTCTTTCAGTTTATTCCACACAAGTAAAACTAAACCATTCCTAAAGAATCTCATGTTCAGCAGGTGTAGGAAAAGTCTCAGTTTTTGGAGAGGACGAGCTCCTGCAGTGACCCTCTGACTTCACTGTAGCTGGACTCTGTACGCACAAATGAGGAGTTTCACCTGTGGAAAAAAGAAAGACACTGTTAATATTCATTAAGATTGCTTCCTTCACACTTTTTATGGTCGTCTACTCATAGTTTCAGCTACATTCATTCTTCCATGGCGGGGCGCCACACCAAAATACATTCCCGCCACGGCTACATAACAGCTTCACATTCAAAATGTTTATTTTATTTTTTTATAGTGGGTTATAATCGCAACAAACATTTAAAAATGTAAGTGAACTATAACAGAGTGAACTTTTCTGTAATCGTATTAATGCTATGCATATTTGTTTAATGCAAGTTCAGACTGTATGTTTTTAGCCCCGATTTTTAACTCGCCGACAAACGCCTGAAATCACAAGCGAGTAACAATCCCACAGTGTGAACTATCAAAGAAGCGATCTGAGAGAATCGCAGATGAGTCGCGGATGCCCGTGAGATATTTGGCGTGCTAAATATCTGGACCTGTCTGCGATTCAGTGTCATCCGAGAACACAGAGTTTCTTTTTAAATCCACCGTCAGTTTTAACATCTAATTTTTCTACTTGTGAGTCTGTTACTAAACTAGACGTAACCATAGAACAAGTATGAAATAGATTGAGGAGAATTAAAGGGAAGAAATCTGCAGGACCTGACAGCATCAGCTCTGTTCTTAAAGCCTGTGCAGATCAAATCTGTTGGGTGGTTCATTACATATTTATTTTGAGTTTGCCTTTGGAAAGAGTTCCCATTTTATGGAAGGCATCATGTGTAGTACCAGTCCCAGTACCAATAGCTCTACCAGCCCAGTTGATGAAACTTTTTGAAAGATTAGTTTCAAAGTATATTAAGCAGCTGTTGAGTGCTTTAAGGACAGACTGCAGTTTTCGTACACAACTGGTGTAGGGGTAGATGATGCAATTATTTATCTTTTGCACAAATCTTTAAGTCATCTGCAAACATCAGGTAATACTGTTGGGGTCACTTTCTTAGATTTTTCAAGTGCATTCAACACTTCAGCCTGCACTACTGAGGGCAACATTAGAAAATGAAGGTTTACAAAAAAGTATGGAAAGTTGGTTTGGTTAACTGTCTAGATCACAAATAGACCACAGTATGTTAGGATGCATAACTGTGTGTCACAAGTTGTAATGAGTAGCATGGGTGTTCCTCAAGGAACAGTTTTAGCTCCATATTTATTTACATTCTAAATGTCAGATTTTCAATACAGCTCCAAAAATGGTCATCTACAGAAGTTTTCTGATGACTCTGCAATGGTTGGTTACATAAAGGATCATGATGAGAGTGAGTTTAGGTTGCTTTAAA